GCCATTTCTGTTGTATTTTCTTTTGTAAATAAATACTCACCTGCACCAGAGCTGCCGCTTCCGGGTCCTAAATAATTACCACACGGCTTGCCCCGGCAGACCGTGACAGTGGATCTGATATCATGTTTATTTTAGGCCATGTGCTCCCTTGTTTGTCCGAGACAATAAAGTCTAATCAAATCTACCTTCTTCTTTTCCCACAAAGGGAATCCCGAGCTACTTCCTCCTGCTTTTCCTGGTGGACCCCAAGGCATCTCCAGGTCAGAGGCGATATAATCTGGGTATGAGGATTTTATCCACTGCAGTGTTACCCTGAGCAAGCCTCTCCAATACCCGCTGAAGGTCACTGTTGACTGAAACCAGTGACCTTCAGCGGGTATTGGAGGACATCAGAGGGCTGGTGGTTTACATGCCACAGGACCTTTGTTTTAGCACTTTGTTTTGCTTTGTTCTTAATCACCATTTTCACCATCTTCTTGTTTTCACATTACACAACACAAACGCTCTGGGAATAAGAACGAGGTGGATTATGCTGGTGCAGGAACCGGAGGGCTCACTGTTGTTTTGACTTGGACAGACATGAAAGAAGACAAAACCAATCTTTGTGCTTGTCTTATTTATCGATGTAGCATTAAAAAGTTTTAAAAAATCTTTGCTTTTGATTTGTCCACAGTGCGACGTCATCCCTACAGTGGGTCATACAGCGGGACAATGATCCCAAGCAACAGCAGATCTCAGAACGGCTGAGAGAGAAAAGAATCGAGGTGCTGCGACGGTCCAGACCTCAGCCTGACTGACATGCTGTGCTCAGAGAGCTGTGCACAGACAAATACTGCAAACCTCAATGAACTTATGCAACACTGTGAAGAAGAGTGGGCCAGAATCCTTCCACAGTGACGTGAGAGGCTGATAAATCACACAGAAAATGATTACTTCAGCTTATTGCTGGTAAAAGTGGTTCTACTCCATCATCAGAGTAAATTAGTTTTCATAGGACTGGTTGAAGGATAAACCTTTGAGTTCTCAAGTACGGAGCAGCTAGTAAGCAGCTCTTAATGGGTTACTTACAGGTGATTACAGGTTAAGAAAGAGGACAGAGGGACAGAAGTGATGCCTTTCACTCAAATTAACTGATGTATAATTTCATGAGAGCTCCAGCGTGACATTTTCAGCCTGTCAGACACTTGAGCTTCTTCCTCCTTCAGCTTTCTGCGGCAGATGAGAGCGCCAGATTGATACCTCGTATGTAAATGTAAGTGCTCCTCTGTACCTCTTTGAGCTCCTTGGCAGGGTGGCTTGTTTCAGGGGCGGAGCTTGGAGAGGCACTCGTGGAACTGAAGAAGACAGTGGTGCTGGTGACGAGCACCGGGGGTGCTGATGGGGGATCGGTCTGAGCCTCTGGACCTGATGAGAGACAGGAGCAACGTTAATCTCAGAATAAACCAACTACAATCTACTTGTATAATATATTTGTGTATACGACAATATACAATGAAAACAGTAAAAAACTCTCAGTGTATAAACAGATGACATGCATTCCGCTGAAGATGTCCTACCTGTGATCTCCGGGAGCTTCTGCGTCGGTGCAGGAGTCGTCGCTCCCCTGCAGAAAGACAAACACACCATGACACAAAAATTTCACATTCTGAAAGTGAGCAGGGGTGTCAAACATGAGGCCCGGGGCCTAGAGTTGGCCGAGCAGAGACTCCAGTCTGGCCCCACTTAACAGCACTGAAAAATGTGAAGCAAGGTCTAAATGATTAAGTTTTACAGCTTCATCATTACTGACTAAGACCTCCCACATGCCCATTCATGCTACAAGTAATTAGAAAATACATTTAAAAACATAAACGTTCCTGTTTATTCACTGTATGTGCTACAGAAGTTCCTGTTTTCACATGGATGCTATTTTTCTGTAATTTCGCACATTGATTTTTACAGTTAAAGAGTGCTTTCTTTCATTCACTTCAGCAGAATTTCTTTATTGTGTGGAAAAAACAGATGTGTTGAACATTGCACTTCTTTTTCTTATACTAGAATATCTCAGGGATTAGATGTGAAATTCAATTTCTTTGACATCCCCAATTTGGAGTTATTGAAGAATTTGAAAACTACTAACGCACATCTTTGACTCATCTTTTCAAACATTTACAAACAATGAAAATAGTTACAGGAACACATATTACACAAACATAGGTATATTTTAGATTGTATAATGAAAACAGAGGATGATCTAGATAAGTGTAGGATTTGATAAACGTTTGCGTTCTCCCCCTAATATGGTCACTTTAAGTGATTTCATGTTTGTCTTCTACGTGTATTAACATTTATTACTTATATGTTTGAGATAAAGATTTGATTGATTGATTGATTGATTGATTGATTGATTGATTGATTGATTTCCTGTCACATCTCTCCTGCTCCAGGTTGGTGTATGTACGAATCAGAACATACACTCAGCTTCAGGCAGTTTTTTCTACTCGTGGTTCTTAATGACATCACAATAAGAGGATATCCCTAATATGGTGATCTGAAACAGAAGCTTCACCCACCTTCTGTTCAGACCTTCTGTCAGAATGAAGATGGCTTAAAGTGGGAGGAGCTAAAACAGCTTGTTTCACACAGGAATAACTGAGGGGACAGCAGCGAGGCTCAGCGTGACATAAAGAAGGTTTATGTTGAACTGTGAATCATGCAAAGCTGTTCTAGTATCAGTAATGAGCACAGCTGTAAGACTTCCAACTTTATGTTTTACAGATGCACTGATCTGAAATTAAAGACTTTTTTTTCTTATATCCGTCACATTTTTAGAACTCTATTTGGTTCTTCCAGAAGTTTCTTCCTGTTAAAAGGGAGTTTTTCCTTGCCACTATTGTCACTCTTGCCAAATGCTTGCTCACAGGGGGTTGTTTGGTGGGGTTTCTTTCTATCACTGTAGAGTCTTTACTTCACACTATAAAGCACTTTGAGGCAGCTGCTGTTGTGTCTGTCCTGTTTTTGGCCGAGTAACGCAGCTTAAAACTTTGCTCTATGTTTGGTGTGAGCACCGGTGGAAAACGGCCGATGTTTGAACAAAATCTGTTTTACTTCATGATGAGGGTAACACGCTGATATACATTTGAGTTACTTAATAAAACATGGCCATGCTGTATGTTAAATGTATTGCTAATCCCAAATAAAGTGTTTTTGGGCTTAAGCCTGTCGTATCCAAACGCCACCACAAACACAAAGGATTTTGCTTTTAAGAGGGAAGAAGGGCTTCTTCCAAAGTCTCAAATGTTTTACAGAGAACATTTAGTGCAGATGAAATATTAAAACCCTTCAAGTTAAAAAAAAATAAAGGTCTGCATGTTTTTTAATCACGTTGAATGAATGAATGAATCTTGCATAACCTGCCTTGTACTTCTAATAAGAGTCACACTCGACTCATCCTAACTTCATCCATCTTTCATGAAGAGAGCAGCAGAACGAGCTGAAACACCGACGCTCAGATCAATGAGTGAAAATGATGAATTAAATTAAGAAACTTCACTCTGCTAACAACTCATACGCACACACATTACTTTGTATTTATTCCTTTATGGAAGAGACACAAAGATCAGACATAATGACGGTGCTGAGTCATCCACGAATGATTACAAACGCACAAAAGCGCACCTGTCAGCTCCAAACGGCACTCTCTCCACCGTGTTCGTGACATTAAAGCAACATCTGCACCGATGTGACGTTTCTCCCTGAAACCTGACTCACTGACAGACTGCTCAGCTGAACCTATGAAAATGATGTTTTGCTGCAAATCAATAAACACTTAAAATTTACAAATGAAAACATACATTTGAAAATCCTTTACTGTAGCACTTCAGTCCTTAGTAAAGATCCAATGAGGAACCTTTTGATTGCATGTGTGTAATTACCCCTCAAATCTGCTATTTGTTAAAGGAAGTTATTTATTTTTTGTGCTCCCCTCCCGCTCCCTCTCCCTGCACACGTTATGTGTGGTAAGATGTTTCTGATGCATGAATACATATTTTGAAGGAATCTTTCGATTGAAGTGGCAGAGATGTGTAGACAACAACAGAAAAGAACATAACGACCACCAGAAGCTCATCCACCGTTATTTTTGCCCAAGCTGTCATTGACGTCAGTCTTGGGAACGTGTCTGTAAATTTCAAATATAAATATAAAAAAACGTTTCTGGCACCTGCAAAATTCCCAACCTGTAAATGGCCAATAAATGCCTGGAATCGATTAATTTTGTGGGCAATGACGGTGCTGAAAATCTGCTTCTCCATTCAATTAAATTTAATTAAATTTTATTTATACAGCGCCAAATCACAACAACAGTTGCCTCAAGGTGCTTTATATTGTAAGGTAGACCCTGGAATAGTACATACAGAGAAAAACCCAACAACTATATTATCCCCTGTGAGCCAGCACTTTGGCAACAGTGGGAAGGAAAAATCCCCTTTTAACAGGAAGAAACTTAGGCTCAGGGACAGGTTGCCGCCCCCGCCTTTATTGAGTGCTCATTGTTAAGTTTAACTAATGAATATTTCTAACAGCTATGTAAAGTTCAGCACGTGGTCAGACACTAAAATCGTGTTGGTTTGCATAAAGCCTCTGAAACACGCCTCAGGGAGTGAGGGTTCAATCAGAACCACAATCCTTTTGACTAGATTACAAAATCTGATCTTAAGACTGTAAACTTGTAAAATTACACAAACGTGTATTCATGTGTACAGTGTATAGTTTTCAGTGGACACACAGGATATCCTGTGTAAAAACAAAATGAAATATCTATAGTAGGCAGTGAAAAACAGGAACTTTTATGTAAGTGTTTTATTTAAGTTTTTTTACCCAATTACTTTGGTGGAGCATGAATGACCGTGTGGGAAGTTTCTGTCAGTAAATAAAGCTATAAAACTTCAAAAAATACAGCTAAAAGTCCAAAATTTATACCGTCTATCACTTTTTTCAATAATGTTTAATGGGACTGCATTATTATTATGTTTGATACCTCTGCTTTAGACAATTTTTTTTAAAGGAGTCACCAAGTTTTTAATGTAAAGCTGATTTTCACTCTGACACTCAAATCATTTGTTTAAATGACATTTCTGGACTCCTGTGGGTTCACACCCTCACACACACTGTTTAATGGCCTTGTTTGCATCATATTCACATTATCAGTGTGCATGCAGTCAGAGAAGCACAGTGAGAGCTTAACAAATCATCTGTCAGCTCTTACCGTGATGAAGGCCTCCTGTCTCTCAGCCGGTCCATCCTCTGTAAACCAATCAGAAACCAGAACAATTGTTTACTTTCACCACACATTATTTCAGCTTGTGTGCAGCTGTTTGGTTTTACTTTAACTGATTATTTGATTTACCTTTACACCAGGCTTCATTTAAAAAGTGCCTCTTGTGGTTTAAACCCTCATTTAGCTGCAGCTGTCCCTGAAGTTTTACAAACCTTCTGGCGATTAAACTTATTAAACCTCCACAGTATAATTTTTTAAAAACGACTCTGAATGTTAATGAACGTTTTAAATGTCCAGCTCGCTCATATTCATATTCATATTCATATTAATGTCGAGACTTTACAGACAGGACAGATGCTGCGGTAACGAATGTTTGCAAGTTGAATCAGCTTATTTGTTGTAAAAACAGCAAAAAATATTCTAAATTAAGAAAACTAATTAGCTCATTGTGACCAAAACATTTTAAATGGAAGTGAAAAAAAAGTAGACTTTAGGAAAACATAACTGACAGCAAAACATTAAAATATACTGGAAGTGTCTGTAGCTGAAGTGTTTTTGGCCTTGGCAGGCTTTCAAACACATGAAAAACAATAAAAATAAACTAAAATAAGCAAAAACACTGAACTAAAAAGGAACTAAATATGGGGTTGAGTTGAGGCTCAGGTGAAAAAAAGAAAAAGAAACCAAAGAAAGTGAAGGAACTTCAGAAAACTGTAAATAGTATAAAGTAAAAACTGTCTCCGTTCAGTGTCACTGTGATTGGATTAACATCAGGTTCTCGATTAAATACAGATGACGAGGAGCACTGCATATTTACTCCAGTTCACTGTGTCCCTTTGACTGACAGCGAAACTCACTCGGCTTAGTTTATTTAAAAGCATCCAAGACGTAACTCCCGCCTTCAACATAATGACGAAAACAATGACAGGTTAGCTGAGATGAACATGAAACATGGTTTGCAGGCAGATGTGAAGAATCTCGTTCGTACCCGTTGAATCATGCTCACGTGCTCCTCCGAGTCGCTGAAGTTTTTGGCGAGGTCAGAGATGCAGAGCGACTCGTGCTGACACGTGTGAACCCATCGCTGGTACTCGGCCGTCCCCGGAATCCTGTCGAAGAAGATCCTGAACGCCTCCCACACCGCCTCCTGACAAACTGACCACACACACACACACACACACACACACACACACACACACAAGTTTCTTTATATCATCACAACATCGTTTTCTAATCCGATCTGCACTTTTAAACTTGTACAAAATTATCCAAGTGTCCAGAGATGACAATTTATTTAAATCCAGATTGACTCCAATAGTTAACCAGCAGACATCAAAATGATCCTAAACCTTAGATCATGTTTAAACCTTCGACCTGGTCTGATCACAGAAAAACTGCACAGGTGGATGTTGTGCCACATCACTGAAATAAAGAAGATGTGTGTGTGTTTTAATATAGTGACATTTCCACCTCCTCACAGTAGCCTCATTCTTTTTAATATAAACATCCATTTATGGATGTTTATATTCATAAACATGTACATGTTTATCTATATGCAAATACAGATTTGTTGTGAGGTAATTTTAAATGAATCAGACAGTTTCAGCTCTCCAACCTCCAGAGGACGTTTTTAACTCTGCAGCAGTGTCTGTGATGGATGAATTAACTGAGGAGGATTAAAAAACAAAAACTGATGGCACAGTAAGATTGATTTAGTCGTCCATCCATCTTCTTCTGCTGAAGTCTAACAGGCGTGCAGTTTATGTCTATGAGTTTAAATCAGAGAAACTGCAACGAATTGCAGACATGTGGAGAAAGGCAAACTAAACCAAGGTGAGCCTTTCTTTTATGGGCTCTTTACTAGCCAAAACAAAGTCCATCAGAAAAGTAAAAAAAAGAACCCCAAAGCTGGAGACACATGTGGGAGGTTAACAGACGCTGAGACAAAGACTGAGGGGAAGACAGTGCTGTTTATACACGAGGGTAAGTACAGCAGAAACAGCAGGGTAACAAGACACAGGAGGCAAAATCAAAGAAATTAGGCTAAACACAAGATTTTTACCAAAATAAAACAGGAAGTGTCACATGAATTAAGATAAGATAAGATAAGACTTTATTGATCCCACAACGGGGAAATTTTTGCGTCACCTCAGCTCAGGTACAGATATCAGAAGGAAATACAAAAATACAAATAAGTACAATCAATGAAAAAAAGTAAGATGATACACAATATACAATGGTAGCATACACAGTATGTGATTATGGATATAGTTGGAAATATGGAAGACATAAACTATATAGCTTGGAAGGTCATGGAAGGTCCATTATGCATGAAGTAGTGACCGTGGATGTTCACAGTGTCCAGTGACTTATGACATTGTGATTGAGGAGTTATAGAGTCTAACTGCTGTTGGGATGAATGATCTGCGAAAGCGCTCCTTCCTGCAGCGAGGGTGTTTCAGTCTCTGACTAAAGGAGCTGCTCAGCC